TGAAGAAACATTGTAAGAGGTTAGGAGATGGGCTTCTTGGTTCTGGTAAGCTCTCTGGGTAGGCTCTTGCAGCTTAGCCTGTGCAGCTCACTCTCCTGGGAGATTGGTTTAGTAATCATTCCAGTAAAAAATAAAGAGCCAACAATTCATCTTGGAAAGTGATTCATGCAAGGCTTCTCTGGCACCTATCTCCTGCAGTGTACAGCACCCAGCAACCAGCATTTACCTGAGCATTTCCCTTGCGCAGTTTTGTAGTAGAGTGCTCGCAGTGAAACATCTCCCCTTGAACAACTTTCTCTGGTGTTCTAGAGGATGGATGTCCAGCAAGTTCTACCTACATAGCATCACAGTGACTATTCTGCCATCCAATCACCATAGCCATGTCCTCTCTAGCATGGCCTGGGCCTTAGCCCTGGAACCTCTTTCTTAGATGTGGGGCACTTGAGATGTTAACATATGCCTTCTAGTTGAAGTTTGCCTACTTCTGTCCCAAAAACCTATAATGTTTTTTACACACTCTGTCTTTAGGAAAATGAGACAAAGTTTGGAATAATGTATATGAAGCTGATGCTGAGGAGCTTGTAATACAAGTTTCCAGGGGATCTTTGACACGTTAGAATGCTATGAGATGTTTTAAAAGAAGGCATGTAGGTCAAGTCACAGACTGTTAGTTAAAATGGAAAGATTTTAGAAGCAATCATCTGAGGAAGGGAGTTAAGTTCCTAATTTACATCTGTTTTTTTTTTTTTGTTTTTCTTAGCTTTTACAGAGGATGCCTAAAATAAAACGAAATTTTAGAATTTGATTTCTTGTGAAAGTTTGTAATAAATGGTATATTCTTTGTATTTTAACTAATAAGGCTATGATGATACTTGATTAGTTGTTCAGTCTGATTAGATTCAACTGCCTTTAGTAAAATCCATTAAAAGCGCTTATCTCATCTCCAGCACAATGGGGCAGTGTTGCTGGAGTTCAGCTAGTGTTGACGGTAGGACTGGAAGTAGGAGTAAAGTACAGGTGGGTGTCCTTACCTACCTCTCTCTGTAACAGGTGAGATTCCTATTAAACTGAAATTGCAGAGATTCAGGGATAATTTGCCTGTCCAACAGAGAAACCTGGTGAGATTCACTCAGGATGGTGGCAGAAACACTAAAGGGAAATATTAGGGAAAGTTATAGGGAATAGTCACAAACTTTTTGAAAGGCCAAAAGGTTACATAGCTTGTAATAATTGAACAGGCTGAAGGCAGCCAGTTCTTCCTTTAGAGCATTAGGTCATAGGGTAAATACTAGGGACAATAGCGGCTTCTGCAGTTGTGTTTACCCTACCTCCATTAACTGACCTTTCAGCAGTATAGCCCTCTCAGAGTTGAGGGGAGGCCGACCCGGATATTGCCCCCAGTGGTATTTACTTTAAACCGCGGTACCTGAGCTTTAATCATTCGTAAAACTACTCTCTTAACCATGTTAATTATCCTCAAGTGTTTTGACTCAGAGCTTCTGTTGTTAATTGTATGCTAAATAAATGCCTGCAGTGCGAGCTGCTCAGGGCTGGCCATAGTGTCAAACTTCTCTTGGTGGACAGGTGGATGGGCACTCGGCAGGACTGACAAAGCGGAATATCTGTATCAGTGTACGTTTTATTTATCCGTCGTTTAGGTCAGGGTCTGAGGGCAGAACCCTGCAGCTAATGCCCTCTCGTGAGGAGCAATACCTCAACTGGTGCCCTCTGTGAGGTCAGCCAGGGGTCTGCAGAAACAGACTCCCCGCAGTTGGAGCCCCTCTTGAGGCAGGCTGCAAAGGAAGTGTGAGGACCACCCTGGTGAGGAAAGCTGCGAAGGAAGCGTGCAGGAAACGCGACGGACCCCCGGAAAACGAAGGTGAGGAAAGGAACGCGGTGAAGTCAGTGAGTAATCAGTAAAGTCATTAGTGCCCACTCGAGGTTACCAAGTTCTGGGGGAGGTTAGGTCAAGCTGAGTTTTCATCATAGGACAACAGTTATCAGCACAGCAGAAACAGTACATAACAGTATTAAAACAGTTGTCTAAGGCTAGAGGAGCCTCAGTTTCGCAGGCTCAATTAAAGGACTTAATCATTCATGCTAAACAAACTGCTGTAATACAAACTGTTAAATCCCAAAGCCCATGGTATCCAGAAGGAATGCTAGATGTAGAACTCTGGGATCAAGTGGGGAGAAATTGTAGCATCAGGCGCCAAGGCGACAGGTCCCAGGAACAGCTTTAACGTTATGGGCTTTAACTAGAGCGGCTGTGGCTCAGTTACACACAGAAGAGCCTAAAAAGAGGAAGTAGGAGAAAACTGTCGCCTGTCTTATCACCTCCTCTTCTCTGGGCCCTAATATCACGGGGCCAACATAAAGAGGAAACGGAGGTTTTACCTGAGCCGCGGCCTCCAATAGATAAGAAAAAAGAGGATACGCTACAGCAATCACTTCCTGTTTTCAGCAGGCAGCACTAGGAGAGCTCTTAACCTGCCCAGTAATGCAAGATCAGCAAAGAAATCAAGTACATAAAGATATAATAAAAAGCATTAGAGGCTGGAGCCCTGCGGCCAAGCAGGCAGTAGACAGAAGGAAAGGCTAAGCAGCAAGGAAGCTCGCAAACACTGAGCTGGCAAATGGTCCGGGGAACTCGCCTGCACGGCGGCAGTAGCAGTGAGGAGCCAGGCCCAGCGCGATGGAGTTAGCCTACTGCAGAGGGCCGGGAGGCGCGCAGCGCCGGAGTCCGCCCAGCCGGCAACAGCTGCCCTTAGGCAGCGGGAGGGGGCGGCACAAGCGAAAGAAGCAGCACAAGTATAACAGCCCCCGCCCCGGGATCCACCTGCTCAGCTTTCTAGCTCTGCAAGTGGCCCACAGCAAAATCTCGTGTGCTCCTTGTTTACTAACAACCTCCTTGATTATAATTCTCTAAGATTTAAGTAAAACGTAAGAAGTTGTAAAACCTCTTTTCTAATAATGGCTTCTGTTGTCTCTCTCCTACCCCTGACTTAGCTCTCCAAATCCAATTTAAGTAAAACAGTAACCTCTGAAGGGAGAGATTACAGAGGGCCCATGAATTAGTTAAAAAGCAAAAGCTAGCATGCAAAACCACACATTACCCTTTAAAGGAGAACTTTAAACCTAATTGAATGATGTATGTTAAATTAGAAGGTAAAAATGTGCCCTTCTCAGAAAGTGAAGAAAAGTTGTATGTAAGTGTAGTGAAAACATATGCATGAATGACTGTCTTAACCCACTGGTTACAGATAGTCTTTGATTTGTACTTGCTAAAAGAGTGCTGAATTGAGTTCCCCAGCTAGTGAGTCACTGTTTTCAAGACTGTTTGCTACGTTGGAGTCCCTAAATATAGTCAGCCTGAAAACTCGATTGCGAGATTTAAGCTATTCTGCCTGTGGCTTTAAGCACATGGTTAAAGTATATTTGAGTCTCTGCTTCTAGAAATGCTTTCAAATTTTCTTTTTAAACTTCATGTTACTTATTTCAGCTTGCCATCTTAATGCAGTCAATTGATAAGTTATGACCCTGATATCATCAGGATTCACTTGAGGCAATTCAAAGTGGCATTGCACTCCCCCATACCTAATGCTTTAACACTGTTTACTGATGGGTCTGGTAAACATGGAAAAGTGGTAGTCTGGTAGAGACCATATAATCCAGTCACTCAATCTAAATTTACTAGCACTCAGCTGAGGTTACTGTTTGTTTATTAAAGAACTTTTACAGCCTCAGTTAAGTTCACTCTGGAGCCCACTCTGTGTGTTTTTTTCCCAGCTTCAGTAATTGCTAGACCAATGTACACATCCTATTTTTATTACACACATTTGACCCCACAGGTCACTGCCTGGCACATTGGCTTATAGCAATGATCAAGCAGAACTTCAAGTTATGATATCACTACTTGACCAACTCACCCAATCACATCTGTTTTTCCACCAAAATTGGAAAAATGTATCTAAACAATTTCAATTTACCCAGAGGCTAGCTAAATAAATTATCTACAATGCCCAGATTGCCAGCTCACAGGCACATCCCCTCCTTCAACAAGTATTATACCCTGGAGGATTGGAACCCAATCAGTTACGGCAAACAGATATTGCACCCCTGAATTTGGAAAACTAAGATATGTGCATTGATACCAACACTCATTTAATTAATGCACATGCTTTGCTTGGAAAGTCTACTCAATATGTCATTAAACATCTTCTTTTAACTTTTGCATTTATAGGACAGCCCACAAAAATAAAGACTGACAATAGTCCAGCTTGTACCAGCTCACAATTTCAACAATTTTGTCACACGTGGAATATCAAACATTCCACAGGCATCCCATATAACCCCAAGGACAGGCAATAGCAGAAGGAGCACAGTTCACCCTTAAAAATATGCTCAAAAAAACAGGAAAAAGGAATATAGGTAAAGACCCTGCAACACTATTGGCACAAGCCTTATTTACCCTTGTTTTTTTAAATTTAGATGATAAATTTTAATCAGCTGTAGAAAAGCACTTTGCTAAAACCTCTCAAGGCATAAAACCTGCAGTTGTATGGAAAGATGTGAACAATAATATATGGTGTGGTCCAAGTGAATTATTAACGTGCGGAAGAAAGTATGCTTGTGTCCATACCTAGAGAGAAATAAAGGGAAAGAATGAGTAAGAGAGACTAGAAAACAGATCAGAAAGAGACGCAAAAAGAAAAACTACGGAAAGAAACTAGGAATAAGGGAAAGGAAATATTAAGCAAGTTATAAATATAGGAATGTACCTTTAGTAATGAAGGTTATGAAACACAGCCAGAAAGTTAAGGCATGTTGAAGACTGTGAAAGTCATGAAGAAATTTATGCAGGAAATGTATACTTTTTGGTTTTAAAATGTTAATTATGAAAATCTTATGTGTAAACATACTGGCAAAAGTTAAAAAGGTATCATCCAGTTTTTCTGTAAACATTAAAATAAAGCACAAGTTTTTCTTAAAGCACTAACCTGCTCTTTAAAGATTGTAAAAATCTCTTAGCACACGCACCAGCCCTAGAATTTCCAGCACCAGCCTGGAGACCATGTCCTCATCAAAGGAAGGAAAGAAGGAAAAACTCAAGCTAGCCTAAGAAAAACCCTAGAGGACCCACAGCCTCAACAATGAGGCTTCCACAAACAACACAGACCCCAGACATGCCGACGCCAAAGGCTAAGCCAAATAAATTATTCATTTTGAATTCTCTCATTTTGTCTACTACCTATACCTGCTACACTCTATTAACCTCATCTCTTAAATCTGTCTTTTTCAGCCCTGTTACTTAAGCAAACACACTTTCCAGCTTCCAGTAAGTTAACTGCTTGGCTGGAAGAAGTTAACATACCCCCAGTAGTGTTCTTAGTAACAGCACTCATCAAACTGAAGTGTCAAGTAACACTACAGCTCACTTTTTACCTAGAAAACAATGCTGCTAATTGTACTCATAATTGTCTTATGTTATTTGCTAATTCTAGGATGGAAAGCCACAATAAGAGCAGTTGTGTCTGGAATTGGCAGGTTCTTGGTCTCACTGACTTCAAGAATGACCTCGCGGACCCTCGCGGTGAGTGTTACAGTTCTTACAGATGGTGTTTCTGGAGTTTGTTCCTTCTGATGTTCGGACGTGTTCGGAGTTTCTTCCTTCTGGTGGGTTCATGGTCTCACTGGCTTCAGGAGTGGATCTGCAGACTTTCCCGGTGAATGTTACAGCTCATAAAGGCAGCATAGACCCAAAGAGCAGCAGCAAGATTTATTGTAAAGAACAAAAGAACAAAGCTTCCACAGCATGGAAGGGGATCCAAGCAGGTTGCCCCTGGCTGGCTCAGGCAGTCTGCTTTTACTCCCCTATCTGGCCCCACCCACATCCTGCTGATTGGTCCATTTTATAGAGAACTGATTGGTCCATTTTGACAGAGTGTTGATTGGTGCATTTACGATCCCTGAGCTAGGCAGAGTGCTGATTGGTGCATTTACAATTCTTTAGCTAGACAGAGTGCTAGACAGAGAAGTTCTCCAAGTGCCCACTAGGTTAGCTAGATACAGAGCACCAATTGGTGCATTTACAAATCCTGAGCTAGACACAGTGCTGTTTGGTGCATCTACAATCCTCCAGCTAGACATAAAAGTTCTCCAAGTCCCCACTAGACCCAGGAGCCCACCTGGCTTCACGTAGTGGATGCCACACTGGTACTGCAGGCGGAGCTGCCTGCCAGTCCCACCTTGTGCACCTGCACTCGTCAGACCTTGGGCGGTCAATGGGACCAGGCAGTGGCGCAGGGGGCGGCGCTCGTCGGGGAGGCTCAGGCTCCGCACGAGCCCACGGAGGTGGGGAGGGGGCAGGTCCCGAGGCCTGCCCCACGGGGAGGCAGCTGAGGCCTGGTGAGAATGCGAGCACCCTGCGGGCCGGGCTGGCACTGCTGGGGGGACGCAGCGCACCCTCTGCAGCTGATGGCCCAGGTGCTAAGTCCCTCACTGCCTGGGCCGTCAGTGCCCGCCTGCGCTCAGAGTGCTGGGCAGCCGAGCCCACGTCCACCCGGAACTCGTGCTGGCCTGAGAGCGTAGCGCACAGCCTTGGTTCTTGCCGGTGCTTCTCCCTCCACACCTGCCCGCAAGCAGAGGGAGCTGGCTCCCGCCTCGGCCAGCCCGGAGAGGGGCTTCCACAGTGCCATGGCGGGCTGACGGGCTCCTCAAGTGCTGCCAGAGTGGATGCTGAGACCGAGGAGTGAGGGCTGCTAGCATGTTGTCACCTCTCACGGTGACCACCTCGCCTGACAAACGTGTGACTGCACTTATCTGTGCTCTGCAATAAGAAAAAACACCTAATACAGAAAACAAAAGAGGGGGAGTTCATGGGATTCATTCAGGATGATGGCAGAAATATTAAAGGGAAATATTAGGGAAAGTTACAGGGAATAGTCACAAACCTTTTTGGAAGGTGGAAAGGTTACATAGCTTGTAATAATTGAACAGACTGAAGGCAGCCTGTTCTTACCTTAGAGCATTAGGTCATAGGGTAAATACTAGGGACAATAGAGGCTTCCCCAGTTAAGTCTGTTGACCCTACCTCCATTAACTCTCCTTTGAGCTAGATGGCCCTCTGGGGGATGGGGGGGAGGTCAACGAGGGATATTGCCCCCTAATGGTATTTACTTTAGACTGTGGTACCTGAACTTTAATAATTCCCAGAACTCTCTTAACCATGTTAATTGTCCTCAAGTGTGTTGACTCAGAGCTTCTGTTGTTAATTGGATGCTAAATAAATGACTGGAGTGCAAGCTGCTCAGGGCCGGCCGCAGTGACAAACCTCTCTGTGTGTGCAGGCAGTTGGACACTTAGCTGAACTGGCAAAGCAGAATATCTGTGCATCAGTGTGTTTTATTCATCCGTCATTTAGGTCAGGGTATGCAGACAGACTCCCTCAGCTAATGCCCTCTTGTGAGGAGCAATACCTCAGAAACCTGTGAAACAGAAATCTTTGTGTCTGCGTGGCTGTTAAGTTTCTTGGGAGGGTTTACAGGAGATGGTAATAGAAACCATTATAGCTAATTTTAGTCAAATGTACCTTTCCTCTTTTTATTTTCTTTATAGCCAAGATGTGTGGAAAGCTTGGGATAGGAGATTGTCCAGTCTTCAATGCAAGTTGCTTTTCTTCTATGTAGCTATTTAAGTCACTTAATAAAACATTGTTTTATTTTAAGTTTCAGGATACACATGCAGTTTCTGCAGGTTTTTACATAGGTAAAGGTGTACCATCATGGTTTGCTGAACCTATCAACCCATCACCTAGATATTAAGTTCTTCATGAATTAACTATTTATTTTGATGTTCTCCCTTTCCCCACCCGCACAACAGGGCCCAGGGGGTGTTGTTCCCCTCCCTGTGTCCGTGTGTTCTCATTGTTCAGCTCCCACTTTAAGTGAGAACATGTGGTGTTTGGTTTTCTGTTCCTGTGTTAGTTTGCTGAGAATAATGGCTTCCAACTCCGTCCATGTCCCTGGAAAGAACATGATCTCATTTCTTTATATGGCTGCATATTATGTAGTTTGTTTTGTTTTGTTTTGTTTTTTAAAGAATGCTGTTTGAAGATCTGATCTGTAGACAGTTTTAGGATCAAATTATAACTAAAAATTTTTAATTTAACTCCAAAAGTTCTAATTTTTAATTGATTTATCAAATATGCCAAAACTTTAGAAACAACATTGTCTTGGGTTACTAATGGCTTTTATAATAATCAGCTAAATTATATTTCAATAGAGAAAGACCATGTATACTGGCATTCAAGAAATAAGTAAATGTATGTATGATAATAGCCAGGTTGGTCACTCTTGGAAAGGGAGAGTTCCAGGCTAAAGTTAATCTTGTGATGCTGGGTTATGGTCAAAGACATCAGTATATACTGATGCTTAATTTAGTCTAGATGAATATATACAGAAATAATTACACGTATGTGTGTTTATACTGCCTCTTTGTTTGCCCAGGGTGTCTTGGAGCAAGCATAGCACAGTAGGAGTGAGCATACTCCGTACCCAGATCTTGGCTTCTAATATCATTCTCTTTAAAAAAACAAAAAAGTCTTTTTGAAGAAATGATTAATTCAGAAATGGAATCGGGAAAATGCAAGATAAAACTGGAGTGTCTTATAGGGCCAGAAAGTAAGGGAGTACTCAAAAAAATAATAAAAAATAAAAAGGTGAGGGCATAAAAAAGGGACTCAGGAGCCAAGCTGAAAGAGCTCACAATGGTCAATGCTGGAACAATTTAAGCAACAAAATAAAGAACATAGCATATCACGTTTTCTGATACATTAACATGTATATGTTAATCTGATCCATTAGATTGACGGTGATGTTCAGTTTTATTATAGTTGCTGATTTTCTGCCTGCTGTATCTATTACTGATACAAGAGTGTTGTATATTTCCAACTGTAAGAGTGGATTTGTCCATGTTTCCTTTAAATTATGTCAATATTGTGTAGTGTATCTTAGTGTTCTGTTGTGTGTTACACACATGGATTACTATTCTCAAAATATTGATCCTTTCATCATTATATACTGTATCTTTTATCCCAGGTAATTTTTCTTGCTCCAAAGACTTCATTGTATGAAATATAACTACTCAAGCTTCCTTCCTGGCATTCTCTGTATTCAATTGGGCTTTTTATGTGAATTTATCTTCTCTCCTCTTAGCATATAAATAAGTGTCTTTGAAAAATTATTTTAGTGGTTGCCCAAGAGTTTGCAATAGATATTTACAACTAATCTATTTAATACATCCACTTTCAAATAATGCTATACTTCTTCACAGTAGTGCAAGTACCTTAAAACCAAGTATTCTCAAGTTATTTTCTGCCATTCTTTATAATATTGCTGTCATTCATATTTTTCTCGAGCTATAATCAGAATAGATTGTTGCCATTTTTATTTGAACAGTTATATATCAAAGCAATTAAGAATAAGAAAAAGTAAAGATTTTATTTTACCTTAATTTATTTGTTTTTCTGACACTTCATCCTTAATGTAGATCTGAGTTTCTGACATATCTTTTTATTCACTGGATAAAGAATTCTAGGATGGGGTACTTTTTCTTTTTTTGTTTTTTCAATAATTTAAATATTTTACTCCACTTCTTTGCTTTTACTTTCTGAAGACAAGTCTCCTGTAATTCTCATCCTTACTCCTTTACAAGTAAGATTATTTTAAAAGCTTCAGGGTTTTTTGAAGAATTCCTCTTTGTCTTTGTTTTTCTGTAGTTTGAATACGATATTCTCAGTGTATAATTTTGCATTTATTCTGCTTTGTATTTTCTATGGTTCCTGCATCTGTGGTTTGGTGTCTGTCATTAATTTTGGACAACTGCCAGCCATATTGCTTCAAATATTTCTTCTGTTCCTTTCTATCTTCTCCTTTGATTATTTCCATTAGGCATATATTAGACCTTTTGAAATTGTTTCACAGTTCCTGTATATTCTATGCCTGGTCACATTGGTATTCTTTTTCTCTTTGCCTATCAGTTTTGAAAGTTTCTTTTGACATACCTTCAAGCTCACTGA